TTAAAGTAATCAGAATCATAACTACTAATTTAATAATTCACTGATTTATTGCTATTATTTAAACAATATTATTTAATTATTTTCATGCTAAAAGAAAACCCTCTTATTACTTGTAGGCTAATTCTATGCTTGCATACTTCATATTATTGCATACACATATAATGGCTAAGGCTAAGTCGTGGTCTTTTTTTATTATTTAATATTTTGGATTTGTAGCATAAATAAGAACATGTAATATATACCAACTATCATGTCAAATCATTGGAACAATGGTAATCTAGCAATAACATTTAAGCCATCGTAAACGTCTGTATCAAGGCAACAGACCGTCGCGACGTCACGCCAAGTAACAGGATGTAACGCTTCTTTGCTATCCTTGTGTAAAAGAAACATGAAATTAATTCAACAAAATGCACTTTTAAACCTAAACCGTCTTATATCAAAACGACGATCAACTTTAGTATCAGATTTAAATGATAATCCGACCAAATTAAGTAAAAACTTTGTTTTAAGTTACAATTGTTTCAACAATGTTTGAACCAAATACTAACTTAGGTCTTAAAGTCAGTCTAGCGATATAAATAATAAATTATAATTTTTGACTTAATTACTATTTTCATGCAACAGAGTTCTGTTATTTTATCATATATCTGTTAAACGGCAAAGCAGTTTGCCAACAGCAGTACTTATTTAACTATAACATAATATACAAATCAAATATTCCACAACCATATTCTACTGATAAATATGAAGTTAATGATGTCAAATTATGCTTCCGCTTCCTATAAATAAATTTCAATGCATTTTTAGTGGTTTCGAATCCATTGCGGGTTTTGTATGATGTTCTAAAGTTGTTTTATTCATGTAGATTCATTATGATACTTACATTATATTTACGTCACTATTGAGAGTGTGAATAATTACGCATTGTTTTTGGTTACTGCACAGTTGTTACTGACTATGATGAGTGGTCTTACGTAGTTCTATAACAGTAGTAATTTGGGTTTTAAAGTCATATAACTCCATGTGTTCGAGATAGTGATGTTTTGTTATAACGATATCATTAAAGTCACTTTATGATTAATTTTATGATTTACTTCTACTAATTTGTCCGTTAAATTAGCTTATAAATAAATTTAGAGAATATAATTTCGGTTATATTTAAATGTACTAGATTACTTTGATTATGAATACTTTTATAAATTTAATGAAAAATGCTTAAAAAATCCACTTTGTTCTTAGCACACTTAGATTGGACTCGAACCCATGACCTTTCGCAATCTGGGCGACTGAGCCACTGAGCTAACCCAGGACAAGACTGTCGATTTTTTTTCAAGCACTTGTTACTTTTTCGCTACTACAGAGCATATCTCCATTAATTTTCAGGCAATCCATCCAACCAAACCAGGCAGGGAGAAAGTGAATTTTTTAAGAATTTTTCATTAAAAATATTTTTAGTATAGCACTGTGAATGAAAAATTGATCTAATATAATAATTTGGTTATGGAGTTAAGTCATGAGCCGTAAAAGGAAATGTGCTGGTTTACATTATTTTGTATCGGTTGTGTGTTAGGACCATTGAGCTAATATCAATGGTTAGGACTAATTTGCCCTTCAATGAAGTACATCGAAAAGGCAGAGTTCGCCCCAGAACGCGTGGATGTGCAACTTGGGTGGGAAACCACTCAATGTGCGAGGTTCGAATATCTACCAGGATCGAATAGAAGCAGGCATAGAATATCAACTAGTAAGAGAAAAAAGGAGAGGAAGATAAAGGAATAAAGAGATGAGAAAGTTAAAAGTCTTGAAGAGGGGGGAAGGAAAACGATTTTTAACTTATCATAATAAATTTTGGTCTCCATATTTATTTAAATGTCTTGTCCTTGGGCTAATTAACGAACAAAAACATTTGTATTATGGAAAGCTGAAACAACGAACACAACATCAACGGCAGCACAATATTAAAAATCAGAAAAAAAAAATAGTAAAAAGTTTATTAGTACATGTAACCTGACCCAGAATCGAACACGGGACTTTAGACATCGGCGTTCGAAAATTGTTCATGGTTTATATATTTTTTTAAATTTATTATAAATACAATTTAAAATTACAATTTATATTAGTACAAACCAAAAACCACGAAGGTTCTCATTCACTTCCTGCCTACAATCGCGTTGAACATCAACAGATATAACAAAAAGTAATATAATTTTAACCTTATGATAACCTGAAAAATACCAAGATAATATAAAGATATCAAAAACGACAAACCATTGATTGTTTTGTCTTTTTAAAACGAAGAGAAATGACATTAGAGTGATATCAACAGAGCCATAGGTAACTACACAAACATACACATTGGTTACAATTTTGTCATCAATAGATATGCGTATTTTTATAAATGTTGTTTTGCATCAACACAGAGTATGAATTCATTGCATATCCTCAGAACTGTTTTTTTAACAAATTATTTTTTCAAAAAATATGATTTGACTTTACATTTGAGATTTGTTTTGGCAATATTTTGTAATAGAGAGAGATAAATAGGTTGCTGTTCTTTCCCTATACCTCTAAATATTTATCCGATATAGTAGCAAGTTTTTGTTGTTATTTTGTGTGTGCAGATTTTATATGATATAATATTTGGATTTCTTTATTAAAGAATTGTTCTTTTGTTATACTATATGTTATTTTGTTATGTATAGGAAGAGTATTGCAATACTTAAAAAGACCTAACTCGTCATCGACATTCTTTTTCTTTATACTAGAAGGTACAATGATTTTTAATATTCTAAGCTGAAGAGAGTATAGAGAATTTATGTAGCTTTAAAAGTTCTACCATAGCTTGTAATTCCATACCCCATTGCTGAGTCAGCAGGAGAATTGTACATCATCCTTGTTTTAAAAGGATTTTCTTATTTTTAATTACGTACATAATGGCTAGAACTTTCTAAGCTTGTCACATACTCGTGTTACTTGTGGAAGCCAGTTGAGCTTACTATTTATAATTATACCCAAATACGTGTGATTGTCGACACTTTCAATTGTGGGTCATGAACATAATATTTTTATAAGATGTAGGCATTAGTGGTCATGAACCCTCAACCTTTGGCTGATATCAGTTTGGTTTTTAACATGCGGTGAACGAATGTAAACTAGTTTAGTTTTTATACCGTTAAGAACTAATTTGTTATCATGACACCATTTGTGCAGTCAATCAAAATCCGAATGCATTTTGACTAAAGCAGAATTAACATCACGATCAGCTATGATAATACATGTATCATCAGCATACCGATATGAAGTTCCATGCTCTATAACTTTGATCATGTCATTAACATAAGCAATGAAGTGAAGATTCCCAATCACTGATCCCTGTGCGGTGCTTTCTTTCGTTGTATATGAATCGCTAAAAATATCCTCGTCTTTAACGCATTATGATCTGTTTTTTAAGTAGAAGTTACACCATTGTAAAAGGGGAACCTGTACGCCGGTATTTCCTAATATGTTAATTAGAATTGAGTGAAAAGTCTATAAATTATGCTAGTACCTACGTGTTTTCTGGAACTTAAATTAATATAATTTTGTCTGTAAATTTAGATAATAGCATATTCGTCCTTTTATGCGATTTAAAAACTAAATTGATTTTCGTTTGTAGCATAAATTTGTCCACTTACATATTTTTCTACAATTTTATTAACTTAATGTGACTTTTTTTAATTGTTCCAGTAGATTTGGAGCCCATTCGATGCACACAATCAAATCTTTCGTCTTTATAATATTAGTATAAACGTACTACTGTTAAGATAGTTCTTAGAAGTAGTTACCTACCTACCTATACCAACGTTTCTTGTATAAAATGGGCGATTTAAAAATGCAAAAAGAATAAACATTTGAAATAATATCAATTATATATTAGGTCTGGTATGATAAGTATTAATCGAGATTTAAACCTTGTTAACAGATTGTGTAAATGTGAACTTTAATTAAGGATTAAGATAGATCTCTGTGAATAGTTAATGAAGCAATCTATATGCATGAGCGTCAGTATATTTGTCGCCAATAAATGATTGATTAATTCCTTTCTGTTGCATGTTGTCTGATAGTTTTTAGTAAATTCTTTATAATTATTATATTTCATCAATTATGCATTCACAATGCTATTCTGGTGAATATTCTTAATGAAAAATTCTTAAAAAATCTACTTCGTCTCTGGTCCCATCTCAGAGTACCAGGGATAAAGTGGATATTTAAACATTTTTCACACAGAAATTCTTAATAGTTTTAACCTATCAATTGTATTTATTAATTTAGTTTGAGAAATAAGGAAAGGAAACAGTGTATTTTTGAGACTTGTTATCTTAACATTAAGAAGAAGGGGTCGATAAGTTTGGATGTTATCACACCCTTTTAACTTAAATTCTGAGATGCTAGTTACGAATATGATACTTTAGGTATTTGTTTTTAGTGAAGGTAGACATTCTAGAGTTTATCAACTATGTTAATCTTTGACTTCCAATAAGTTAGAAGAAAGGAGAATTATATAATAGTTATATTAATAAAAGTAGCTGAAAATGTCAAGTAAGATTCATTTTATAGGAAAATTTACAGGCACATTAGTTTATAGTAAATAAGGTAAAATTGATACGATTACAAAGAACCGAGGAAAAGCTTAATATGTTAGCCATTTGATTTAACCTTGTAAATAGTTGCGGGCTTGCTCATAAAATAATAATTAAAATGGATTATTACTGTTTCCGTCTACACGTATGATTGTGCAACTATGCATACCTTTCGAATAATTCACAAAAGGCGAAGCACAGTCGCGAGTTGAAACTATCAAGACTCAGATTCGGGTTTTCCTGAGGCTGTGATGCGTCTGTTTCTTTTTAGCACGTGTTCAGTTCAATTGGCTGTTGTTCCGTCTCCTTCTAGCTTGGGAAGGCTTGCGCGGAAAGAGAATGTGGGTAACGAACGACCTTTCGTTGGTACGGGCAAGCAGTGCGGCCCGAGCGTTTGTCGGGAGAGGTACTTTCGGCTGCTGTTACAACACCGCGAACACATGACAGCCTGAAAAAAAAAATTACGTAAATATTACAACGCTCACGCATTGATTATGAAACGTCTGTAACTGTGTAGCAGCAGCACTGTTACCACTCAGGGTACTGTTAAAGCCAACAGTTTGTGTAAGTAGTGTGAATCGAAAGAAAATCTTGGTTTGAATTTGTGATATCCTGTATGACCCTGGTGATTTTATTTTATTATATCGTATCCTGGTCCCGTTCCGTGGTGTTCAGTTAATAGTCTAACCCTGTGTTCCGTTGTGATTTATTTCTGATTGGATTGTCACTTGTTTTTTTGGTAAGTGTCCCCGCGTTTGTTTTGCTTTCTTTAATTTCTCTTGCATGTGATGTTTTGCGTTTATCATTATTTTTAATATATATGTATAATGACAAAAAAACTCATGGTCACAATCTTGCAGTCACGTTTTTATTTAGCAATTTATATATATATATTTATGAATGTGCCGATATATTAAATAAAGTCAAACTTTTAAAGAAAATATAGCTCAGATTTGAAATGAATCTGTGAGTTATCGATAATACGTCGGCTAAAGAAAATTTCTTGATTTCATAACGTGTTTACTTGATAGTGGATTTTGATTATTGCTTCTTTTGTGTTGTTAAGGTAATATTATAGTTTCAAAATAAGGTTTCAGTAAAAGATTTTTTAATAATATAAAAATAAATATAAAAAAATAATAATATAAATAATGCCAGTATTTGATGATCGAATTTTTAATGAGTAGTTATGTATATAGCATATATATTCAGTAGATTTAAACCTCATTGTGTATTTTTTCATTATAACATGATGTCATGTTTATTCTACACAATTTTTTATTCACATTTGATTTTAAATTGTTTATATTAAAATTAATCAAAATCGTCAAATAACATTGTTTTAACATTGTTACGTATAAAATTGTTTGAGACAAATAACTTTACAAAATTATTTAGAAAATTACTGAATTGAAGCAAAATGATGAATATTGGATACATGAAAATTTTGTGTTAAATGAAATTAAATCTAATAGACCTTATAATGTTATTTCATTATTGAGTGACATACATATAGGCCATTCTTAGCACCGACGAAAACTTAGACAATGACCTTAAATATTAAATTAGAATTAAAAGTTAACGACACATATGGCTATCTTTAGAACTCTATATTGTTTCCGGAGTGCTGGCCATTTATGGGCAGTGACAGTGGGGTGGGGTTAGCGACCTATAGTGTCCTGTACAGCAAAACGTAGTATGTAAGTCCTTAGGTATCATATTTTTTATAGCGTAAAAAAGGGTTAAAGGGGTTAAATCAGGGGATGGAAGCTCGTCATTGTTGATAGTAAAACCATGAAAATTTAGGCATTTGTTAAGACATAAAAAAAATATTGGTTTAAGGGTTTATGAAATTACTGCCCAAAGTTACGCGGACGAAGTCACAATCAAAATATGTAAAGTAGAGTGCTACATATTAGTATTTATAGTGGTCAATACTTCCCCGAAGACCGAAAATTCCTGGAATAACAAATGTGTTTGCTAATTGCTATAGCAGAACACTTTGATCAGTTAGCAAGATCATCAACCACTATTTGTAAGTACTTTAGTCCCAATAAGCAAAGCCTATTGGGCCATGGCCTTAACAAAAAACAATGGCAAATAATTAAACAGTTGCACTTTTGGTTGTAAAATCGGAATCAGATTGTCTTAATTGAAAACGATGTCGTATGCTAATTGTACAATCTTTCGAAGTCTTCTTATTTTACATTTTTTATTACCTAATTCGATACAATGTTAATTCATAACTTATATTATCTCTATATTTATTGGTTATTATATTTTACTTTAAAGTGTGTAAGCATTAAAAGTAGTATAATTTATGGTGAATAATATTTACAATAATAATAATAATAATAATTACATTACAATAAAGTGATTTAGCGTAACTGACGTCACTTTAATTTAAAAATAAATTAGAAGCGAACGTAACCACATTAATTTGTGTGAAACAAATAATCATTAGAAGGCAAAGGTATTTGCGCTATCCAAAGCTACTTGACAAATATCATTATTCCATGTTATAACGTGCGTACACCAATTAACGCTCGAATTAGCTGGCTTTATATTGGGTAATACCTAATTACAGTACAGTTTGTTTACCTAAGTGTCAACATTTCTACAAGCAATGACGACTTCGTAAGATTTTATTCTGTAATCGCTGCGGTTAAATTGATTCTGCAATAATTGGATTAGTACTTGCCTCATACGGGTCATACATGATACCAACACAGCATTGCTAACTAAAGCTACACTTGACAACTAAAAAGCTTAATCAAGCAGCAACGAATTGTTGTCTGTTGTCTCTATAATCTTCTGTTATCCACAGCTCTATGACAGCATAAACGTTTAAGAAATAAAATCTTTATAACCTCTTTAAGTAGGTTTTTGATTGAAGTTCTACCTTATGACAGCGCTGTGCTCCAAGTCGTTTTCTATTCTGTCTTTATAACAGAAAACCACTAAAATCCGTCCTTTTAGTTAATTCAGACATTTAACATCATAAATGGGTGTATTTGTATCCATGTCTAATGAAGATTTTAAATGTACTTCCCGCATCCGATTTTCTTACTGTACTCGTACAATCAGGCTATACAAAATTGACTAATTTCCCTATTTGATTTTAAACCTTAATACAATGGACGTAGAGTTCAAAATCTATTCAAGAAAATGACGCCTGACGTGCAGCCGTGTGTACATAGAACTATATGTTTAGAAAACATTAGAGAAATCCTATTCAAAATGATGCTATATAAAATAGTTTTTTTATTTGAGATTTATCCCGCGTGGATTACATGGTGTTGAAACATCTATTATCTCCTTTAGGAGGTACATTATTCAAAACCTTTTCTTAGTGGATCTATCCTATAACGTGTAGAATACGTTACAAAGCAAACACTTTTGTGATACGAGCATGCAATATTTCCATGCAATAATAATTCATCTTTATCGAAAGTTTAAATATTTGTAAAAATATTTCTTTTGACTGTTTTGGTGGATTGCCTGAGCATTGACAAGAATACGCTCTATGGTAGCGAACAAGAAAAAAGTGCTTGAAAGTTTGTCAGTCTTGTTAGGTCTTGGGTAGCTCACTAGTTAAAGCAGTCGCCCGAATTGTGAGAGGTCATGGGTCCGAATCCTATCTCAGGGTGCCAGAGACCAAGTGGATTTTTAAGTATTTTTTATTAAGAATATTTTTCAATAGCATCATGAAAGCGAAATTGATAAAATATAATAATCTAAGCTATATCTATATGCGGAAACCCATAATTGGCTCATTGTTTATTGTGTTTTTAGCTTATGTTGCCTGAATAGCTCTGTTGATTTCCAAGAGAAATTGGTTATCGACATTTATATTGAACCTTATTCTAGAGATTTTTAATTAGCATACAACCTACGAGAACTATTAATATTCGTCTGCAACTCTTTCTAAAAACAAATAAATGTCTATTAGTATGCCAAGTTTTGAGATATGCTTTGATAGATTACATAGGAATCTTTGCTTAAATAAATATATATTATTTTTAAGATATAAACTTCAAACATAAATTTAATGTCAATTTGTGGCTTTCGAGTGTAATCACAATGAAGGTTATAGTAACGTTAGTAATAAAGTATAGTACTCTTTTTATGGTCATTGCCGCGCGAAAGTTTCGTTTAAAAACCATGCTAACTGGCACTTACAGTAAAATTTTATAAAGAAAACAATAAAACAAACAAAGAAATAAACATTTCTATTCCTTGAAAGTGTCTAAACTGCACAGTTTCTTTCGTTCTTTCGCAACAGCCTCCACCATTACGGTGTGTTGCTTAATCATCGAATCTCTATCACTTTGTTGGCTTACATTTTTACAAGCAACCATTATAATAACATCAGCATTTCGTAATTTTAGTCACGATCTTTTCAAATGCGCTATTAACTATTAACGTATTACTTTATTGTTTTTTTTTAACATCTGTTGTAAAACAGCAGCTTGATGAAAACTTTGACAGACATAGAGCACTCTAAATATTAAATATATAATTACTTATAAGATTTATCATCCGACAGTCTGCTATTTTCTATTTCAAAGAATTTAGACGAAATTTTGTATTGTTGAAATTCAGATTTAGTTGGTTGCGTTACTGAAAGGCTCACTTGCTTATTTCTAGCCATCCCTGAAGTCCCTTTTTTATAACGCAGGGTAAGAACACTTTAACCAAGGTTCTCCTACCTGAAAAGGATAGCTTGAAGCGTAGTTGGTACCTGATAAAACCTGATAAAGAAATCCCGGATTCAGTGAGGAGCCCGCCGTATCCAATCCCGCAGATACAATATTTCCATATTACCCAGGACAGCGTATTGCGCTTCCTTCGTTATCAAGGACTAGGTATGTTATTGAGTTAAGATGTAAATAATTGTGATGTAATGTTATTAAATATTCATTTATAATCGGGTAAATATTAACTTTCGTTACTGCAGAAACACAACTTAAAGGAGAATTATTTGGAGTTTTTAAATGCGTTTTATGATTTTATGTTTATACCTCATATCTTTTTATTTAATAGATAAATGAATAAATGTAAATATATATTAGCAATCAGCTTTGGTTTAAATAGAGTGGATATATATATAAAAATAATAATATTCAAGATATCGTATTGAAAATCATATCAAATGGTTCAAATAAAATGACACGAAGGAAATTTCACATTTTTTACAGGAAGAAAATAAGGAAACAAATATATATCTAAACCACACCGTTCGCTGTAATTAAAGCCACGAGAAAATTTCTGTAAAATATTTTTCAAAGGAAACGAAACCTTATTCATTTATCGCACGCACTCATATCCGATGGAAAGGAAAACAGGGATGTTTGTTATGTACCTATGTAATCATTCGCTCGCTCCTTATATACCTATGTGTACATTTCATTAATATAATTCATTAAATCTCCCACTGTTTGCTATAGGGTAATGAGTTGGAAACCTTTACGAATAAGTAACATTTGACAGGCCCCTTGAGGGCCGTCACAATATCGCTTAATAACAATAATTTATTAATATATTCAAAAAGGTTTATGCGAGTCGTCTCCAAATGCGATTTATATTGAGATTTATTATGTATTGTAAAGTTTATTGATGAACTATATAATGATTGCGGAATCAGGTGGTGGTTTTATATAAAAGATCAAACAAACAAATAGCTAAGTACTCAAGCTTGGATAAAACAGTTAAAATCTAAGACTTGAAGGCGGATTT